TTGCACTAGGTTTAGCATGTTAAGTAGCCTCAATGCTATTTTTAGATCGAGCAACTCTTCTACTTGTGCGACTTTTCCAAATGGTACCAACAAGGTCAAGGATCTATCCTATGTAAAAATGAGACCTATATACTGTAACAGCTAAGATCTTCTACAATGGCTTATCTACAAGTGTTGTGACATTAAGGATTTTATTCATAAATTTATTTTCACATATAACTATTTTCTATTTGAAAATGTTATTTGTGTTTGTTTTAACATTTTTCATTTTTACTTATATTTGTAGGCACTGAAATGTTAAATTGTACTGGAATCCTTTAAAAATCAAAACTCCTTAAATCGTACCGGCATTTCAAGTTCATGGAGTAATGTGGGTCTCAGAACCACCCTGTGAAATATACAAGGAAAATTATCATCCCTCCCACTTGTACAGGGTAACAGCGGAACTCAAAAAGATTAAGTATATAAACTCGACTACGTCAAGACTTCACAAGAACTGGCAAGGGTGACACAACCACCAAAATTTCAGACTCTTAACGCATGTTCTCCCTTAAGGGTATTACCAATTGAACAATGATTTGCCTCTCTACAACGCATATGGACTGGGAACTAAGAGCCAAACTGCTGCAGCGCTGCCACTACTCTTAGTCTCCAAACGCAGCAATAACACTAATATTCTGTAAACACAAACACAGCCTTTACTCAAGACCCCATTCCATGCTGGGTTTGCTCCACTGCACAACATTTATTATGCACTATGGCCTTACACATAACCTTCAGTGGAAACGTCCTCACTCCGTGGGAAATTCAGTAACAGTACAATGACTTCGTTCCATTAATTTACGTTTTAAATTATTTCTGCATGCCAAGGAAAAAGAATGAATTACAAAAAAAAAAAATGAATTATATATACTGCACTCTACCTCCCACCCCGAAGTTGTAAAGTGTCAACGCGCGGCAGCAAAACACAAAGAAGTGGAGCTGCACTAGCACTCGACTCCTGCCGCCCAGTAGCGACCAGCCCAAGCACGGGGGTCGCTTCCGCCCCCC